GTGCCTTCACATTGCGCAGCGTCTTGTGTGCGCATCGCCTAAGGTCCGTTCTTCTACCATTTTGTCGGAGATCCCTAGATGGTTCTCTAGGTTATTAATTGCTTTTCCACGTTATTTTCTCACTGGGAATAACGCCAAAGGATTTTCAGTTTGGGACTGCTCGACTTCAAGATGGTTCTCCTATTTTTTTTCTCAGGTATACATCCACCATTTTGTCGAAAAATGGCAGTGGAATATTTCTCATTATCATGTTCTCAATTCCATCTTGACTGCAAAAAGTTAATTTTACAAAAAAAAATTATTTTTACATATAATTACGTAATTACCAAATTTATCGTGCCACGAATCATTCATACACACACAGCTATATATATGGTTGCGAATGTCAATTCCATGATAGTTACAATAAATTATTGAAATTCCAAAAAAATTGTAAATCCCAAATATGTTGTGTGTCTAATTATAACGTGGTATTCGTCAAGCGAAAAAAAATTGCGTTCCCAGTTCATCGGGACAGGACCAGGATCAGAATACGTCTTAGAAGCTGACCAGTCATCATTAATATTATACCACAGCGGCGCTCATCACTCGCGTCAGATCTATGCCGGCCTCTTTCTGTCCACGTCTAATACACGATCCATTCCAAGACCGAAGCCCAAAAGCTCAAAAGCCCAAAGACTGCATCCAAGGATGGGTTCACCTACCAATCTAAAGGTATAGATAGACCCCATATACCATATAACCCGTAAAGGCTACAGCATCCCCTGTACCTCATTATACCCACATACAAGCAAACATGAAGTTGATGGATATCAACCGAAGAGCCCTACAAACCCAGATGCAATTAGGTGGCGAGATATTTCTTCTTCAAATTTGACGTCCCGTTTCGATCTTGATCCTTCGGACATCTCCGAGATATCCGGCGCATTTGATTTTTATGGTTGGAAAAGTTTTTTACAATTTAACATTTTTTTTCACCCTTCTTACTCCTTCTCAGACATACTCATCCCTCGTACTTAACAGCCTTCTTCTATGACGGTTGATCTGGAATTAGCATGATTTGTATTGAACGTGCCTTCGCATAGAGAAAACCCTTGGAGCCATGGAGTGTGGCGACATTTAGGTGGCGGCTGGGGTTGCGGAGTGATCGAGGAGCTGCCATCAGTCACGGAGACGCGAATCCGCGGGGGTTGCACTGTTTGCTCAAAGACCTCGTTTAGTTACCCTTACCCTCTTTACCCTCTTAACGTGACGACGCGTAACCCTCGCGTACTATCACATTCAAATTTATCTTTTGACTGGTAGCATTGGTATCCGAATGGAATCCCGCGTTATTAACCGCCATGTTTTGTGCTAGGTTTAATCATCCTGAATATGTATATATATATATATATATATATATATATATATATATTCACGTGATAACGTCTTTCCACTTCCGCGTATAAGATACAACGCTAAGGAATGCTCATTGAATTTTCTGTTACGAATAAATTGATTACGTTGACACCGGAAACATTGAATATCCAGTGATATTAAATCATTTAACATGTTCACATAATCAAATATGTTATTTCGATTTACAATAAACAGATACTTGTGCTTGTTGCATTATCATTATTTTTATTCGTGTAATTAATCATTGTTGTAATGTCAAATTGAACGTTATAAATTGAATAGTTATCTTTAGGTTAACATTAGGTATTAATAGTAAAGTAAAATTTATTGAATAATAATCACGTGGAAATTGAGAATTCATTCGTCGTATGACTGTACGCGTTACTATGGATAGTCCGAAAATGAAGATTTAGACACGATCATGGATCATGTTACGTGATCCTTCATTCGGGTAACTAGTAGCGAAATGTATTCGTCGTTAAAGTCACGAGTTTGCTTGTACGATATCCTAATTGTAATAGGAAGGTATAACGGAAGGGATGGTTAGCGCGTTATAATTTTATTATACATTCTGAGACGTGTTCAATGCAACAGGGAGATGTCCATGTAAAAATCATTAATCAGACGATAGTAAAAACATAAGGTACCACAGTGTGACGTATAACAACATCCCTTAATCAAAAGTCAAATTGAAATTCATACTTGGAATTTGATAAACAGAAATTCTTAGAAACAAAAACATCATAATCAATTTTACATGTACTCGAGTAGATATTAATTCTTGGGAGTATTCATCAAAAGTTCATTGACCTATTAAAACGGGCAAATCTATTCTACTTTTTATGACGTAGCTTATAATTCTAATGATATATGTATAATTAGATGAAGCTTATAATTCTAATGATATATGTATAATTAGATGAAACTGACTGTGACGATACAAGTCTAATTAAACTGTGGGACCGTGCGCTGGGTCCTATAAGAAGGACGGGCCTAGGTACTAACTTCAGCCATCTTCGTATGGGAGATTGTAGAGAGACGTGGGAGAGGCAGGAGAAGAGGGAAGCTGTAAGAATGGCAGAGAGGGCATTTTGTGAGAAAAGTGACGTCGAAAGCAAGCTATTCCTGCAGGCTGCGTCTCGCGGCTCCCCTCAGCACAGCCGCCGTCGGCAGGCAGCACCCTCTCTCCTTGTCACGCAAATCATTAATCTTGCTATGTTTTCTCACACACTCAGATGTGGATTTAGACTTGAGACGCGAGTATCTTGACGTGCACGGAGAATGTTACACGGCTAACCGTATATGCGCCCGGACCGTTTGTCTCCATTCTCAGGAAGCTGTGCCACGGACCAGAATACCGAAGAACTCTGGTGAGTGTATGTTAATTTCAAAATCGATGATTCAAGTTGAAAATTATATTACTCCGTTGTGCAATACATTCATTATGTACGCAAGGAAGATTAGACGTGACATTGGAAATTTGAATTTTTGGATTATGAAACGTTAATTTGAAAAACTTTTCAGGGTCGGTAAAGTAGATTCGTTGGGGTCATAACTATCTTTGTACGTGTTTATTTATATTTTAAAAATTTGTATATAATTTACTAGTAATTATCAATGATTTAAATTTAGTACTACTGTTTGTGTTTGATTGATAAATCATTTTTATGCTTATGTATGCTTTGGTGTCGCAAATTTTTTTAATGGAATATATGCAGTTTTGAATTTAACTTATGTTTCGCTTATCACACGTCAGGTTGTATTTCATTTGTATAATGTCACATGTCATTAAGTTTAATGAATGTTGAGTCTTGAAATCTTTGCGGTTAGATTGACGAAGCTACTACGATGGGGGTAAAATAATTCCTTTGAAGCTTTTCTCTGCGATTCGTTGCAAAATCTTTTTCATCCATTAAGCGAGCAGGTGAAAAGCGGACACTCTGCTCGCACGGTAATTACAATGATGTGTGCACTTCATTAGCACTTACCTGTATTGCACAACGCTATTAACGTGTCACTATTATGAGCAAGATCAAAGATTAATTAACGTTCGACTTTACCGACTAATTCAAAGATCCACTTACGAACAAGAAATGTCATGTGTTACTTGACATATATTATCAAAATATTTCATAAGAAATCAATATAATCATCATTGGCAAACAAAGCTCTAATACAAGGCATTTATCGATAAATATGAAAACTAATATACATTTCGAATTTAGTCCTTTGTAGGATTTTGGGAAAAAATAATAACAAAAATCATCCATAATTCTTGTTGACGGCGGACAAGGGCTTACAATCGTCATTAGCCCTCTATCCTGCCCATTTTTTAAATTGTAGTTATAAATACTATAAGTGAATTTAACATTATTATTGTTTAAGCGAATAAACTTACGAACTATTGAAGCTAAATGGAAAGCTAACAATTCTATGTTATGCCAACATAGAGGACTTTTTGAACTAAATAATTAACAACGTCACTGATCATTATTGACAGCAAATGTTATTCCACTATTGACTATACAGTCGATGAAGTTTATGATGCCTGCCATGTCTTTTCTTTATTATCGGCGACACTTATGGTAATTGTGCGATGCAGAAATCGATGGCGCTTTCATTTCCGCACTCAACTTAATGGAGGGCAATCGCCATTAATTTTATTATTTTATTCTGACGCAACTTCACGTTCACATATTGATCACATTTTTGCAGCTAAACCGAGCTAAGTATACTTTAATGGATATTTGCATAGGAATCTCTGCCATACAGTAAGTGCAGTAGTGACATTAAATAATATAGCCAGCTTACTAATATCAAGCACTAATTCTCATATTAAAAATGCGTAAAAAGTAGTTGGATAGAAATTTACATGTACAGTTTGAATATAAATTTTTTCCAAATGGTATGATAAAAAAATAATTTACGATTGTATAAAAAATAACTTAATTCTTTGCTGATGTTACGCTTCATTTAACGTATAATACTGGTGTTTCCCTACAGTTATTATAAGGAGTAGCGTTGATAATTTGTGTATCACACATTAGACTTGATTATCATTATCAATTTCAAAAATCCAATGGTATTTGACAGTTGACGTTTGTGAAAAATTTTTTTATGTCGAGACCATTGTAGCATTGTATGCACCACACAAACCTCTCTAGAACCGAATTTGTCGCCTCTTATCAAACAAATTCGGATCTACAGGGTAGATGTAGAGCATTAACTGGGCCTGCATCTCACTGCACATTGTGAATAATAGTCCATCCTATTTGTTACTTTCTTAACACTTTCAGCACTACGTGCTTCGCTTAACTTCAGTGTTGGCCCAGTATTAGAAAATCGATGTTACATGTTGAGCGTCCTTCGTCCACTTACTATCTGAAATAAAAAATCCATATTATTATTTAATATTAATAACGATCATGAAAATTAAAGTGAATACGATTTAGTAGTGAAATGTGGCTGACCTAATGTTTTCCTAATTATTTTCTCTTTCTTAGAGACGTTTTCTTATACCCTATTACATGACGGAAACTACTACATGATGATAATTCGCAATTGATCTGTTTACTACTTATCTAAAAATCTAATCACTGGATCATTAAGAGGTTTTCATTCCTCGAAAAAAACTTTATCTAATTCATTATGCACATGGGTATCTACACGTGTGCCTAGTCATTTAGAAATTGGCTGATTCGGTAAAGTCATCCTTCGAGGAAGGATCAATTTTCGTGGTTGGTGGCTCCTCGAGAGAACGAGACCGATATAATGCGACAAAGTGGGTTGTAATATTTGCAAACGTGAGAGTCACTCCTAATCAATATTCGTTAAACAAAGTTAATAATGGGTTGGTAATTTCTTTCACCTATAATTAAATATACCCTAGAGCTAGTCATGTAGGATCATATAAATATGATCTTCGTTATCCAACGATTTTATTCCAAGTTGGCTATACGTAATAAATGATGCATACACTTTGCATGAAAAGCTAATGCAATATGCAACGAACTGAAAGTTGCGTCTACATATATGTAGGATGAAAGGAAAAACGAACATTGCAGAGGTCATTGCAGTGAAAGTTAGATCTTAAAGCATTTCTCAAGTTCTGATCAAAGTGCGTCTCTGCCTTGCAATTACAGTGCGTGTATAATAATTTCCATACCTCTGCATCTCGCGGTTCATTATAAAAATAGTTGTATTACGAAACATGTAAGTGGACAGTACGAACAATAATTGTCGTAGAATACTTAAAACGTTATGCACACAAAAGTGCCACTAAGAATTTCTTTCTTACACAATGGCACGTACGTGAAGCCTATTGTAAAGCTTGTTAGAAATTAAATAGCCAAAAGACTTAATGCTTCTTTTGTTAACCGCCTTATCATTATTCATTCATAATCACAATTCAATTCTAACTAACTACCTCCATTTATGTAATTACCATTCAATAAAAGTAACGATCAATGATCCAACTATTACTTCCTCATTCATCAAACCCGTACAGGAAATCAATACAGGTACGATCAGTAAACAATGAACTAATATTTATATTAGTCTTGACTCGAGCAAGCTCAGTTATGTCATATGACATACTTCTTTATAGCTTGTGTCTACGAGCAGACCTATCTCAATAGCATTGATTACGTCGTACCTGCACTACCGATAGTGATTGATACGCTCGTCTCTTGGATCGAACCACCTGAGAAACTTAACGGGCCGACGATGACACAGCTGATTGTGGCAAGGTCGTGTTCTCTTCTTGTGTTAGCGGTACAACTCCTGGTATTCCTTTACTAGCTGACATCGCCGTTCCGGTCTATCGCGTTTATCAATGCTGTTTCGTGTTGGGTTTGGTCAGTTGGTCACCGTGGATCGGTGCATATGGCTTCTAAAATTGAAAAATTACAATTTCATGAATAATTAAATAATTACATAAAATATAAAATAATTAAGACAAACTTTAGTCAATATTGAATTTGTTAAAAATAATTCTTTGATTCACGACTGTAGTAATGTGATGTTAATTTTTATTCTAATATAAATTATCGACTCACTTTAGAATATCATTATTTATTTTTATTCAGTAGAAAATTCTTCGTTTAACTGTCGCCTCGGTTGATGGTAGTATGCAGAATTAACGTCAGCCTTCTTGGTGGATCTGAAAATGACAAGCATTTTTCATTGATGACATTTATTAATGCTCTATCACGTTATTCGACTTATACATATGTAATACGTTATATGGGATAATAACGACGTTATATATTTCTTATCATAATATTAAAGCGTTTCTTAGTTAAAATTCGTTTGCACGCCATGAACCTATCATTTAATCTAACAAGGATCCGGCGTATCGATTAAACAGTCAGAAACCTTTGTCAATTGGTATCGAAGTGCTCAAAGGTTTTTGTTTTGCTTAGAAAATAAAAAGAGGTCAAAGCATTAAGAAGTCAATTGTTAAGCTGACACCTTAGTTAGAAAGCTTCTACGCCTACTAGGAGTTTACAATGTGTTGAAAAACGGCGACTTAACCCAGCTACAATTTCAAATACCAGCTATCTATATCCAAATGTTTCCTGTAGCTCAGGGCTAACTTCACTTTCCAGCCATAGTGCCGACAAATTAGATGTCCCATTAGAAAAGAGGATTAGGCTCCTGGCGATGTCCGCCGCAAATTTGTTTAAGGCGATCCTAATCCGCTTTAAGCGTCCTAGGCGTGTCGCGAATGCATTAGGCGTCGCAATTTTCGAACTGGATGTCAAAACACGTCGCGTCTACGAGACGAGAGCTTAACTTTCAACCCTTTGTGAACGCTTACATTTTCCGAGCGTATAATTTCATCCCTTGGGATAAGCCAGGCTAGATGGGGTCCTCTGCTGAATAGAAGGGTGTCAGTTTCACTTTTGTGGACCCTTGGCCTTCCTATCGACCCGACGCCGTACGCCCAACGACGCCATTGCATATACGCCGACTCCGACGCCATTCCCGATCCTGCCGTCGCCGTCGCCGTCGCCGTCGCCGCCATACCCCTGTGCATATAATTTTACGTATTACAACTGTTGCTCTGGCCTGTCTAACTTTCTCGCTAAATTTTATACCCAGCAGTCGCCGGTTGGCTGGTACTTGATTATTCGACGAATTGAGATATATTCACACGTGAGACGGCATTAGATCCTTTTTAACATAATGGAGATAAATTTTAGGAATGACTTTCAATTTTTTTTCTGGCGAGCAGCCAGGATCATTAAGCAGAAGATAAAGGAGCACGAGTACTATGATCTTGAGACTTTTGTAAATACAGTGAGAAATTATGTTCAATATGATTGTCGTTACATCATCGCGTGCTAATACTCAATCACTATAAGGTGTTTATACAGGTATGAATTTCACGCGTTATCCATTACACGCCTCCTTCATGATTCTTAATGTACAGAAGTTGTCTAAAAAGGTAAGATGGTCCCAAGAGATCATGGAGTTAAAATATAAATGGATGAAAGCATTCTTTTGGGAAATGGAGTCATTCAATTTTACAACTTTATAAATCCGTATAAGATATCCGTCCAAGCACTAGTCACGCCCATTTTATGTCTCTATACATATAAAGAAAATCATAAGTAATTTTTTTCTATTTCATAAAATTCTAAACGTATGAACAAAGAAACAGCTGATTTGTCAGAAGTCGAATAAAGGTGTAAAAAATTCAAATAACCATTCTGCCGAACAAAGACAATGCTTACTCCAAAATGATACTCAATATAGAGTTAAATCAGCATCTTAAAAGGATTTACAGAATTATAGATTTACAGGATTTACAGATTTAAACTCATCTTGTACATGTTCCAAATAACTTTTTCATCGTAACGGCATATGCACGTGTATTTTGCACTTTGTGGAAAGGAACAGCAAAATATTCAGATACCAGATTGCGACGATTATAGTCAAAAGGTCTCAGCGATATTCTTAAGGGTTCGAATAAGCCAACTGTCTCCTGAGAGACGCCGAGACGATAAACAGACGTTTTTAACGTCTGATCTACTTTACCGACCGTACATTTAAATAGCACGTAACGTAGTTATCCAGCTTTGTGGCGTGACTTACGTACCTCATGAATGAATGCTCTATGGCTGTTCGCAGGAAACGTTTCCCTCGGGGCTGGTTATGTTCACCATCGCTGCTATCTCGCTCGCACAAAGAACTTGCGACTACGCTCGGGTGGGACACGGCTCGACTCGACGAATAAACCAATAAACGGAGCAACCATCTGCTTGCCAGCCGGCATCTTTTCCCTTCCTCACGGCGTCCTTTCTTCTCCCCTTCAATCGTTCCATTTTATGCGCTTCTGAAATGAAATCCACGAGACTCAACACACGAAACACTTTTCTGTTTGTTTTATTTCTTAATGGAAAACTCTAAAGGAACATGTGATATATTCGAGGACTGGTAATTTGGCAATTTCTAGTTATGCCACTTGAAAACATTTCTTTTTATTTCTCTTATTTCATCGCTACTTTTATTTCCTCAATGTAATCTTGAGTTTATGGCTGAGCATGTGAGGTTAAATTTTTTATATGGAAAAGAACTTTTTCACATTTGTTTTATGGGTCTTTTTGAATATCAACCATGAATCTATTCTGTTTTTATCAGAACATTGTTTTTCTTTCTTACGTCGATTTCACACTATGGCGAACAGTCGTTTGTTACAAGTTTCTTTCCAAGGAAAATATTTTGGCAGTGGTACTGTTGCTCGAGACGAAATAAATTACCAGATATACATGCATAAAGTTTGTAAAAAAATCTATATTACGTACGTACATGCTGTAAAGTATATATATGTATATATAACCATTTCGCGCATGTATATAAAGACAAGATAAGAAAAGTCTTCAGGGTATATTCCACGTTCAGATAGGGAGTCTCTAATGATCCTTATCGTCGTCGCGAATTGGATGCGCAAAACTTTTGCCCGATTGGCAGAAAGACACGATGTCGCCGAACCTGGCGTCTGGCGATGGCGAGTGTAGCTTGCTCGATCGATCGCGCCCCCTCTTGATACCACCCTAGACCTCAATGTTCACCCCCTCATTTTCTCCAGCGAACTGCGAAACGCAATATCTACTCAGATTGCTTTCAAACTAATCTTCCATTTGGATGTATCTAATAAAATAGCAGCATTCGCACCGTGAGATTTAACTATTCCACTACATTTATATGTCATGCGTTGTCACTTTGTGAGATAAGTTCAAAATTTATAAAATCTATTTCATCCATAAGAATAATTCCAATTAAAAAAAAAACTATCATAACGAATAGAATTTTCCAGTAGATATGCTGCCAATATTAATTTCTAGAAACCAATCGTAAGTAATTTCTCTGTATTTTGGAAATACTCTGCCGGTCGACCGTAGAATTGGGCAGCTAGAAGGTCGACTAGTGGCCATTTTACAATCCCTGTTAAAACGTAGCGTCCATACCTGGATGAGAATAAAAACCGAAGAACCGTCTATTCTAGTAACACAGACATTTCACCGATTATTGATAAAATAATTAAAAATTTTTTAAACATAAATTCGATTATTATATAACAAATCAAAGTTTTTTCTAAAAATTAAAGAATATCGTCAAACGAAAAAAAATTATTGTAAAACGGACTGTCCAAAAAATTTTCAAAAGTTACATTGTACTATAGAACCCCCTTACACGGCATTGAAAATTAATCAAAATTATAACCTGCAAAGGATTGCTATCACAATGATAAAAAAAATGTCTAACGTGTCAGTAATGTTTAAGGCACTTTTACTTAAATTACCCATTTATGTATATTATGCTACCGTATCTCGCGTCGTCAAGAGTACGATACTAATTTCAATGGACGTGAGCACGCAAGCATCTAAACCCCATACTGATTTCGTATATATAAAAATTGCCTTGCCCTGCTCTTACAATCTCAACGTACTCAGCACCTAAAATGTCTCAGGTATCTATATCAACCGCATTTACATTACCTACTGCAACATGGATGTTAAACGTTTCCAGTATACACTGTGGGAATCCGTTTATATCCACTCGGCTGACAATGACGGTTTAACAAGACCTCGTTACGTCTCCCATAAACAAACCGCATTGCATGATGTCACTCCTTGCGGAAACGCGTTAATTTACATCGGGACGGTGACTAATTCCACGATATAAAGTACCACTAAATTGCGAAGTGTCTGCGAGTGTTACTGGTACGACAAGAAAAAAAAGGCATCTCTCTCTCTTAAATTCACCATGTGGCACGCGGTATAATAATTTCACAAATTCTTTATCCAACTGCCAAGCTCGTGAATTATTAGATCTTATAAGGAGCGATATGAAATTCCACCAGTCGAGGAAAACCGCGAGTGCCGCAATTCTAAATTGTTCTACGGATTATGCTGCCGGCACAGATAGCCATAAAGACTATGTGAAAAGTTTGCGCTAAGTCGAAAAGTACCTACGAAAAATATGTTACCGTACGGAGGCTGTGCGGTTAGATACCAGTCCCTATTATCATGAAGGTACAAATTGCACGTTAACACCTATACGGTGTTGATAAAGATAACGATAAACGGCAGTGGAAATGTATTCTGGAAAAATTATCTCTTTTCACCGAGAACAACGTCACGTGCTTGTTACAGTATTTGACTGTTATACATATTAGTGCAATTAACGCGTATGAACAAATACCACGAAATGAATATCGTGCGAACGTCGTTACGAATGTAAATTTACGTAATCGCGTTAACGCTGCTTGCTGTAGATAATATAAAATAAATGAAAGTATATATTTGTATGTATAATAGAAAAAAAAAGTTACTTCCCAAAGAAACGTGACACCTTACAGTGTTACGAGATGTCTCACAGCGTAATACTTAATTTAAATCAAACTCCCACGTATTTTCAGTTCAGCTTTAGAAACCAGATTGAAACAGAACCCAGAACAGTTAAAGTATCGAATCGACAAGATCTCGTCCCGAGAGTCCTGTTCTACGAAAGGGTTCGCTCGGGTAATAAATGTTGATCGAGTCTATCGGCCTTTACCTCATAGAGAAACCAAACCCCATGCAATACCCATATAGAAAACCTTTCGATCCTGCCATCTCGCCATCTCCCATACATAGAATTGACTGCCCATCTATTCCATAGAATAACTAATTCTAGTACAGGTACGTTATCGCATTTCATCGATTTCGCAGAATCTCCAGTGGGTATAAGAGCGGAGAGCGATGCAAGAGTTATCGATGCTTCAGAAAGTTATGAGTCTCAGGGTAAATTTGATGTTCGCCCCTTGGGAAGGAAATCCGATTGGACGTAAATCATGGGTTTTCTAACAGAGTCGCGGTAGCTACAGAGATGAACAATTTCGATACATGGTCCATGTGCGTAAAGATAGGAATAAGCGTGGCTCGTACGTGCGCTCTTATATTGTGATTAGGAGTTGGTTCCTTGAAGACACAACAAACATGGTGGCCTCACTCATCTTAACTCGACGGCTAACAACATCGATCACTCGCCGCTTTGTCGTGTCATCCTCCCTCTTGTTCATTCACGTGTCGATTCACGGCTCCTGTCAATGTACCTTAACTAATAATCCGTCCGAAAATACTTGGGCGTAGTTCGTTTTTGAAAGAATTAACTGCGAATATTCGATAGCGTGCCTATACTTTGTGTGACGTAAGTTCACTATGGGGTCTTATTCGGTTTTCATTGAAGTTTACATAACGAGGTTATAGTAGCAGATATTATTTTTTAACTCACGCGGATTGAAAGTGCTTTTATTTACAAGTAAAGAAAATCGAGTGATGCTTCATCTTCAAAAAAACAGTTGATATTTCAAAAATTAAAATTTTTTATATCTATATGGTATTCACCGGATACGTCCAACTTTTGTTCCTCTCATGGGAAAATTCAGCTAGTGACATTTACGAATGAACATGGTGCGAGCCTTAAGTTCTGTACCCACGGCCATTACTTCCCTTGTTAAATTTTATACCATAACAAGTGACAGTCTTAGTGAGTCACTTTTGGATGGCCTGATGACTAATACTTTATTTCTCGTTAATCGCACGCGATAATGTACAACGGAAGATTGCTGAACTTTGTATCTCGTCAGATTGTACAAAATTGAATTTCTATGAATTTGATTTTCCATTTTTTTCCAGTATCGACAGTTATATGACGAGGCTCTGATCTTCAAGCGGAACACACGTTGATACAGTATTACGAAGAGTTTTGGTCCAGCAGGTTTAGTGATTGGGAGGCTGAACGTGGAATGCGGGCGGAGTGGAGTCCTTGATTGGGCTCACGGCCGGTTTGCCCTCTCTGGTATACCCAACACGTGAACATATGTTAGTGCTCACGGACCATGTCGCCTGCTTGGGACAGTTTCAGCGACATCGCCTTCATTAAAACCCGGCATTAGGTATTGTTTTTGTCGCTGTCTTCAAGTTTTTAAATTTCAATCTCCATGACGACCTGAATCCCACAGGACTAACTTTTCTCATCTTTTACACCCCTTATCATTACATATTATATATCGTGGTATATGATTACATATGTGCCGAATGCGCTTATATATAAAATATAATATGTTACAATTTATGCCGTTGAATATGTTTGCCACTCGGTATTCTCGCCCACGCGATACGATCGCTGTACTGTGTTATGTATGGTAACCATATGGTGAGACGTACTAAATTATCACGTATTCGTGTCTTGGTACGTACGCCTGGCTTGTGCCTTTGTGAAACTGATAAAGTGATAAAGTTTCAGAATATGCTGGTTTACGGTACGAAAGAAAAATTCTGTAGAGTATATCGTGGAGAATATACAGACCGTAAGTCATGCCGTGATAATTATTTATATTGAGATGGTCCGTAGTGTAAAGTTTGATAGAGATACGCGAGGACGTGTTACTGGAATCGTTGTAGGGATTCTGCGTGGGCTAGATAAAAATGAGACGATCTTTTTTTCTCTTCATCTTGACTGCTACGTAAGGGCGAATGAATTGATAATGACGTATTTTTAAATCATGGCTGAAAATGCCAGCTGTACAATTTCGATGGGAGCCATAGCAGTTACCCGCCTATCTTTGCGCATGCTCTTGGCTACCCTATGGTTTTCAACCCTCGAATGAGCTTCCCCTATATTTCACCCTCCAGCGCGTCCTTCTCGCTGGAAACGAAAAGTTTCGACCGCCTACCGTGAGGGAAAGAGTAGTATTTTGAATTTACTGTCGACACTCGAGATTCTTTTTGCGAAATTATCTATGAAAATGTTTTACTCGGCTACTGCAGTGGGGCGAGGTATGAATTAATGAAAATATTTGTATTCATGAAATGTACGATTTCGCGGTATTGTCTTTCCGTGCACTTTGTTATTTCTTGATTATTCACAATTGCCCGTTATATGCTTTCGTGGTACTGAATTTAACATTCAAAAATTCATGCTACGTTATTACGGACAGTAATTTCATATATGAGATTGAAAATTTTATTTACAGTTGATGTTACGACGTACAATCACGCGTGACCATGACACGCCAACTTAAATATCAATATCAAAACAAATATAAAATGTAAAAATTATAATACTCATTAAGCGTGCAAACGTAACGGAATGTCTTCGGAAAAAAGCAATGTAAACTCAAATGACGTACTGGTTTAGCGTTGAAAAAAAATCCACAATATTAGCTACGTGCATTTTGAAAAAAAAAAACTTACTCTTACTTAATGAAAATGCATTGTGTAAAATAAATGTCTTTTGAATAAATAGCCAAGTTGTGAAAAATAAAAAAAAATTCAAAAAAAATGACAATTTTACTGGCGCCACTACCGAGCACATTTTTCCAACAAAGTGAAACCCAAGGCGCCTGCTATCATCTTTCAATGGATCGATAATCTTAGAGCTGCTTGCAGCAAGTCCTTTCATCCTCTATCGATTGAATTTTTCGATTAACGATTTGTATTAAAATCAATTCCGTACAACTCACCCCTTATAATCATGCTCCTGAACAATAGAGCCTCCGGTGCGACGATGCTTTTGACAGGAGCACGATTGCACGATCCGTCGAAACGTCGTCAGAGAACTCCGAGACGCAGCAGCCGCAACGTGCGTATGCGCCCCGACGCTCCGAGTGTCTGAGTCTGCGTCGGGGGTTGAAACGAAACGACGCTGGGCGTCGCCATTGCGGGGATTAAAAATCGAGGGTCGACAAAAGGGGATTGGAGAATTTTTCGTCGGAAGGAAAGGACGAGACGCGGGAAGAAGCGTCCGTTCAGCGCCGCGACGACCTGCAGACTGCCCCGGCGATCGGCGTCGACCTCGCCGGTATGAACTCCCATTAACATAAATTATCGTTGGCGACAGTTACTACCACTAACGTCACCTCGTTCAACTACGAACTTTACTGGTACTGTTCCTGTTGATATTACTACTACCGCTATGCTATAGTACCGACTCAAGTATTTATTACTATCACCAGACCAGTACTATTAAGGCCTACTACCACTACTACTACTTTTACTACTACTCTATACCGAATACGACCTACCATCGAAACAGGGATGGTATGTATTTCTCTCCTGTTCCCAAGTTCGGCCATAAACCAAGTAGCAGCCCTACTATGATACAATAGGCTGTAGCCCTTGACCCACGTACCTGCGACTATATGGCCGTACATTTCTGACGTGTCTTTTTCGAAAGTTTTGGGATTACACACTCTTGCCTCACAGAGTATCGACTTGGCTATCGAAACATTTCAAAGAATTTCGTTAGATTCTATTCCTTGATTTTTGACAATTTTCTATGGATTTTATGACATTGATACAACACTTGAAAGATTAATAAATAACTTTTTCTTATTTCTAGTATTGCTTATTATGAGAATAATAGTAAGTAAGTAACCTTAAGGCGTATGTACGATCGCATTCCAGACGTGCATCATGAGCTGAGAAAAATTTACGGGTCGTTTAACCCGCACTTGCCTCCTGGTAGGATTTTCTGGTTCACGTTTCGTTGGAGTAACGGGGACTGCCATGGATTGTTTACGTTGCCACTTAACACTCTTTGCCGTGGCCTTGAACTTGTACGTGTGCTGGAATCGCCTTAGTAGGTGACGACTACTCGGTTACCGAAGAATGCACCGTCATCGCTCGTATTCCAGTCATTGCGTCGTGAAGCCTCACACGCAGGTATATCTATCACAATGATGCTTCGCTATCGTTTACTATAATACAATCAAACGGAGAAATTCAATGGTTTCATGCTACTATACCATTATTAAATTGCGTTTAAAATCGTGATGAATATTCATTAGATATTATTATCAATAAAGCAAAGTATTTTGAAATGTCCCGATTATTATTGTGATGTCGGCGTAAAAATGTCATAAAGTTTATTTATCGATTCTGCAAATATCATGATATTCATCATTACGAGTGAAGATAGTAGAAGTTATTTTCAACACGCCAATGAAAAGTTGAGGAACTAATAATTTTATGGAATTAGGTAGAATAATTTTTATGCGTTCTCTTAGTATAAACTAACCAGAGATGAGAAGAGAAGTACTCAACGATAAAGCCAGAGATGAGTAGGGAGATCCGCAACGCTACGGCAGAGATCAGTAGGGAGATGCACAACGCTACGGTTTTAGGAGATACCAAAAACATGGCGCTAAATCGTGGCGGCGAATCCGGGAATAGAATTTTGTGATCATCGCCTCCGTCGATAATGCATATCCCGTCGTAGCCGAGATGAACGTGATCACGAACGTTTAGCCTGGCCGGCAGAGGTTCTTCGCAACTTACCGCTGGTTCCAAGAGCAACTCTTACAGAGATGAGTAGGGAGATGCACAACGCTACGGTTTTAGAAGATGCCTAAAACATGGCGCTAAATCGTAGCGGCGAGTCCGGGAATATAATTTTGTGATCAGCGCCTCCGTCGATAATGCATATCGATAAGGCAGAGATTCTCCACAACTTACAAATGATTTCCAAAGCTATCCTTAGAACGAGGTCGCTCATCAGATATTGCCTAAATATTTTTTTTGTAATCTTAAATTCGAGTGCACAATGTAAGCTCGATAAGATTTACTATGACAAAAGCCAACACCTCATGCCTGCCTGCGTTAAGGAGTGCAGAGATGCGGTGCTAGCTTCTAGCATTATTTAACAATAGTTCCAAGCGGAACTATGGTCCTAACATTGAGTACTAGAGAGAACTATCCCGAATTGTTTGAAACACAATCCGAAAACAACACTGAAAACTTATGCATACCTGTACTGAAGCGTATGGTACGCCCACTGTTGAATCTATTTTAAGAAATTTTTAAGAAAGTGCGGTGCCAGTTCAATATTTGGAAAATTCATATTTGAACGAGGTTACGTAGCAGAACTATTGTTAAAACCTATCAGGAACTACAGTAGTCCTCGAGAACTATTGAAAAAGCCTATTGTTGAATCATTTTAAGAGAGTTTAAAAAAGTGCGGTGCTGGAGCTGACACCCGTATAGCACCTCAATTTTTGGAAAATTCATATTTGAACGATGTTATGTAGCAGAACTATTGTGAAAACCTATCAGGAACTACAGAACTCTTCGAGAACTATTGAAGGTGCCTATATATAACATTTTCCAAGGTAGGCAACTGGCGCCAAGTACCGCCGGTTGCCTGTACTTGGCGCAAGACTCGAACGGGTCTCTTGATATCCGCGTCGTAGTTTTTTTCGATTGTGCATAAATATCCGTGTATTCATCTACTCCTGACAAGTGAATAATTAGTCCGTATCCCAAAATAATAGCTAAGTTGTAACGTGAACGAATAACGAGTGTCAAAGGATGGGCTGAACCTGTGAATTACGAACGAGGAAAATTGAGAAAACGGAGGAGTTTTTGATGAAGTGAATATGAAGATGAGGTATTGTTTTCGTTTGGCTTTCATTTCTATTCGCAATAGACGTTTTTATAAGTATTAATGCTGAAGCTCTGGCGAAGAATTAACAGAAAAAAGTAAGACAATAAGAGAATTGTTATATTATTGAAAAAATGCTCGAATTCCTTACGCAACAGGAAGAGTACATAAGTTCATGTTTTGATTCTATAATTTGTCCAAATCTCAGTAACTTTTAATACTAATTTGACAACCTCGTTTGTATCGTTTGATCTGAATTGTCGGTGCTCAGCATGTGACAAATTGCAGTCGATCTAATTATTTCGCCATCTATTGTTATTTTATTGAGTAGTCGTTATCATCTTTTGATACATATCATGCATATTCGTAACTTTGGCTTTTCAATCTACTTGATATCTTCCAGGATCACGTGATATCTAACTCGGTAAAGAATCTAGCCTATTTATCTGCAGTCAATAATGGTATGTGCTTTGCATCGATAATACAGAAACGTTATCCAGTTTTGTGATCCAGTAGAAAGCTACCTTTTCAAAGAATAGCATATGATAAGAATTATGCTTAGTTCATGGTATCAATTAAAGAGGGCGCAAAGAATTTTGACAAGTATATTTAAAATTTAGTATACCGCATCAATATTGTAATACTAAATTGTAACTAACTATAGTAGCTACGCATCTAACTCTCTATGAAGGGCAATCATTTTATTATCCACCTTATACAAATTGTCAGTTACCCTGCGTATAGTCATTATCCGCACATTATGTCCAGTAGATTCTACAATGTGATAGTCAAAGTCACGAGTATGTACATATTTGAATCCTTGAATAGTTCTATATAGAGATAAGTTGATAGGAGTGTAAAGCTTATAAAAAAATGGTGATAAAAAGTACAATTCATAGCTGTGTTACGGAATATACCTTTAGTAGTTGCTGCTTGGTACTGGTTTCATTATTTTACTCATACTGTAACAGTAACGTAAAAACCATTTCATAGGAACAATGGAATTTCGTGGAGATCATCTTAATAAAAGACATTGCAACAATAATCAATTTGTAAAAATATATACACTTAATGATATATACATATACATAGTATCGTACAATTACAGTTATATACATAAATATGTCGCATGGCGAGCATTAAAATAGTTCACTGCTACATTGTAGCTAAAGACATTTTGATTTAATTATAACAATGCTTATCAAATGTACAGTTATGTAAAATATGATTTGCACATTGAGAAAATTGCACGATTCAACCTAATGTTCTTTTAACGTATGCTGGATTACGTTTATAAATTACAATTGAGACATAGAAGCATATAACTATGAGTAAAAGAACATTAGAGAAGCGTTGCTTTTTCAAATATTATTCAAAGCAACTTAATTCTCTTTACATTGTATGATTACCGTGAAGGAATAACAGTTTGTCTGCCAAATGGGGTGGTAAAGCTGAACGTCTTCCATCGTAAAGAACTTGAGCATCTGCAGGAATACGACTAGGTGGTGCACAACATGCAGGGACGCAATTGTACCTTCGAGCTAATCTTCCAAGATTCGGACATTTCGCCGAAGTCCTTGCCCACCACTGCAAAGGACAATTGTCTAAGGGTGCAGTTGGCTCTGACTGATACTGTACAAGTTCAAGATCCGCCTTTTCTTCAGCTGGCATTCCAGTTTTTGTCGAACAAAGACTTCCCAATAACAGCTCCATTCCTACGAAAAAAACAACATTCAATGACAATTATAATACATAGGAATATGTAACTTTTCATTTGAGTAAAAGTTTGATTTATATCAATTACCAGACATTCGGCTTTTTTTACTGGGAGGTCCTTCCTCAATTTTAATTTCATCATTGTCAGCACCTTCTTCTTCTATTAGTTTCGTTAGCATTTCTTTTATCGGTGCTGCTACCATATTCTTATCTTCTTCTGTGGCATAAGGTAGTTGTTTGAATCTGTAGAATCAGAATTGTATATACATTTGAATCCTAATTAGACTTTTTATTCTTAATTAGAACAATATAAAGATTCTCGTATAGTTGATATTATGGACATTACCTGGGGTCTAATGTTGTTGCAATTTGGAGAAGAAGACTAACGTTAGCGTCAGCGTAACGATCGCAAAGCATGTCGGATAGAGACTCTTTAAATGCTCTAGCAATGCTGCTATCAGAATCCTTACATCTTAGGTGAGAGGAGACTAGCTGCCATAGTAATGGTTTTAATAATGATATTAGGGGCATCTTTTCCTCACTAAGGGTCATGATTGTTACTTTAAAAGGCTCCAGAACTGTTACAAGATCTTCTATGATTTTCCATTGCTCTCCAGTTAGGTCGATGACATCTTGATCAATGCCTTCCATGCTTTCCAAAATGGAAGTAATAATATTTCTACGTAATACAATTTGTTCCAGCATGGTGTATGTAGATGTCCACACTGCTGGATAATCCATCAATAACGCACTCTCCTCAAGCTGTCAACATGGTAAGTATATTTTGAGTAACTTTGTAATCTTAAATAGCAAATTAATGAAATACGTAGATAGAAAAATTAATAGTTAGCTTACCTCAAGTATCTGCTCTTGCATGAGTAAAGCAGCAGATGCAGCTGGATGACTTGCAATTGCTCCAATAGCAGCTCTACATTTTGACAAAATATTTGCAACTTCTGGATTTTCAAAACATGCTTGTGCACAGATTTGTAGAGTGTGAAGAAGACACGGCACCAATGCAAGACCACGACTGGTCAAAGCTGCTAACAGTTCAGATCTCATGGTTCCAATAACAACTGCTGTTATACGTTCTACTCTAAGATCCCAATCAAGTAATAAAGAGTCAATAGCATTTCCCCACTGTGTCTCTCCCCAATCCAAAGGAGCATGTAATGTGCTCAGGATCTTTGATTTTAGTGATGCTTCTCCTACATTTTGATAAAAAACTGAAATAGTCACAAAGCATTCATCTGATTTTGATTTCCATTCTTCCATAGCTAGACCAACTTCGTTATTAATACAGGATAGACTTGCTGCAACAGTTTCTCTAAATGTGTCATAGACTTTTGGTATAATCTCCTCCTCCAATTTATTTTTGCTAGGAATTTCACAAGGTGAATGTAAGGTTGCTATGAGTCTTTGAAATCCTTGCCCTTCCACGACTTCAGGTAATTGAAGATCCATTATAATAAACTCTGCAATCGCATCAGAAACAGATTTTCCATCAATGCTCGATCTTTGCGAAGAACTTTCTTCAGGCATAAGAAATGCTACATTCTGGCTATTGGTCCCCACGGTAGTACCACCTTTTATCATAACACGTAATGGCTGACCAATAGTTATATCATCCTCAATACCAGATAAACTAACATTAGGATCTGTTACAAACTGTATATCACCATCTATTTGTACAGTGCCATCAGCATTTGTTGCATAAATATGCTGCGCTGTACCAAAACCTGCTTTCATCAAACGTTTTTGAGCTCTTCGATCTTTAGTTTCCTGAGAAAGAACTTGCTTTTTGGGAGGTGTAGCCATCTCTAGCTCTAATAATTCTTGGGCATGTTTATTCTGTAGATGCATTCGTAAGTTGCTTGTGTTTCGATTATAAGCAATTTGAGTTTTGCATAATATACAGACAATCTTAACTTTAGTAAGAATATCACCCTCATCCGTAGCGGGGAAGCCAAAGAATTTCCAATATATACTCCGCATAGACATGGGTACAACAAGCTTCTTATACGTATATGTATGCTTCTCCTCCATCATTTTTGCCAATGTCATTTGCATGTCGTTTTTGGTATCGTCGACAGTCGTTAATTTTCCACTACTTGTCGCCATCAGTTGCTTGCCATCCATATTTGATTCTCAATATTTGAATATGTCAGAATACAATAAACTTGTACAGCAACTCAAAAAACTTGAAGTTATTCTATTCGCAGTACCTCAGCTTGTTAATTTCTCTTCAACATGGACGGCATTCCCTGCCTAAATCAGACGCATTCACAAGCAAACTCACTTAATGATTCCACTTTTGCAAATTCCACGACCATTCGTGTGATTACGAATTTACCGCGAACATTCCGATATATATCAAATCAACTTCTGTCGAATTATTTTATAGATATCGAACTTCAATTTCTCGATCCGACAGCAACAACGCGTGGCCGCGTATCGACCATCCCCAGTGACGAAGCTATCGACTTTACGACACTGCGTTGGTTCAGTTTTTCATGTCCCTCGTGACGCAGCAATGTAGTGAAGACTTTCTGCCAGTTTACATGAGAACTGAATGTAAAATACTCATTTCCTCAACCAATCATGTAATGCTTTGAAAACGTCGAGCATGTTCGTACAAAATAGGCGCGTAAACTGTATTATCTGAATTATTCATGTTCCGGTGACTGTGCAGGTTAATTTTCTGTTAGAATAATTAGTAGTCTAATTGTATTGTAATTGTTAATCAGCAGTATTTAATTAAATATGTTTTTCAGGACTAAATCATGATAACAACATTTAGCATCGACAGATCGTATAATACTCTTTTATACTTAATATTATGGAGGGTGATTTCTGTATTTCTTGTGCAAACGGCACACGTACCTGATGAATATTGGCAATCGCTGGAAGTGGCTCATCGGCTTGCATTTGGATATGGATATTTAACGTGGGAATGGGAAGCAAGAATACGTAGCTATATTTATCCTTTTGTAATATCTATTTTATATTGGTTATTGGCATTGTTACATTTAGATTATGTGACGATGCTTACAACAACACCTAGATTACTACATGCTATTCTTAGTGGTTATGCAGATTATCGATTTTATTTATGGACTGGTAGCAAATGGGCTCTTTTTAGTCTTTGCACAAATTGGTATTGGTATTATTGTGCAACAAGAACTATAATTAACAGCGTTGAAACTGCACTTACCATTATAGCTTTATCAATGTTCCCATGGCCAAACAGTCAGAACCGTAGCAGTAATTTTCTTTGGATTATTGCAGTTTTATGTGCTACTCGACCTACAGCAGCGATCGTATGGATACCATTATGCCTGTATCATTTGTTCATAAATCTAAAAAGTAAACCAAGCCTAATTCTACAATACATTCTCATAGGTGGCACTGTTCTATTGGTATCTACTTTAGTGGATACATTATGTTATGGACAATTTGTGATATCACCATGGGAATTCTTCCGCATTAATGTTCTTAATAACGTTGGAGATTTTTATGGGACACACAGAACATTATGGTACCTTACATCTGCTTTGCCAGTTTTACTTGGTTTACACTGTCTCACACTTCCAATTGCTATTTGGCAAGTTATTAAACACTTTACACACTTGCATCAAGGTGCACTAATTATAGTTGTGATCGGATGGACTGTTTCCATTTACTCAATACTTTCACATAAAGAATTTAGATTTATATTACCAGTTTTACCTATGCTTATTTATTTATGTACGTGCGGCACGTTGCTCAATTATAGAATAAGTGAATCCAAACGTAAAATATTTCTAGCATTATTTATAATAAGTAATCTTTTACCTGGTGTATACTTTTCTCTAGTCCATCAGCGCGGTGCTTTGGATGTAATGAAAGTTATGCGTCTGGAATTTGCTACTAACAATAATACTGATACTGATATACTTTTTTTAACACCATGTCACGCTACTCCACTCTATAGTCATTTGCATAAGGATATATCTATCAGATTCTTAACGTGTGAACCAAATTTAGGAGCCTCCAATGATTATGTTGACGAGACGAAATTATTTTTTGCGCATCCCATGCTCTGGTTAAATAATAATTATATAATGAAACGAGGTGCTCCTTTGCCACATTATTTGATAATGTACGATAATCTTGCATCCCGAATAGTGCCATTTTTAAGGGATTATAGACCCATCGTTAAAGTATTCGACTCTCATTTCCCACAGCCCAACTACGGAGAATATATAATTGTATATAAACGAAAATTTAGCGAAAAGGGTAGAACAAAATCGTTGCTTTAAATAAGTATAATATATTTTTATCGAATTTCAAAGAGCATTTATGTTTGTTGAGGTACCCGTGGTTATATCATTTGGTTAATTTTATTCGTGAATGTATTTTTTTATTTTCGAAAATCACGAAGTTGCCGTGAAACAAAATTTATTGACTGATAGAAATAAGTATTTTTAACGCTATTGTAATTATTACCTACAATATACAAACTTAAGAGAACAATAAATGCGTATAATATTTTTTAAAGGTAACGAAATTTACACTTTTAATAATAAATTTGCTTAGTCAACTTCTGACGATAAAAAACCTTACGCTGATCTTCGGTTACTTCGTTTTCGAACACTTTGGAAAATCAAAAGAAAACGTTGTCCATTTACAGCAAAACGTGAATCCGAGGAAAATCCCGTTTTGATGACATGGTCGTCTTCCAGTGATTTATATTGTGATATCACTTCCAGTTGAAGCTGTACTTCAACCCATTACAGATAGTATAGATTACTGTACCAAATAAGATTTTTTTAGTAAATATAATTGTAATTACTTTCCATGGCCGAAACCTTAATCCATGGCCTTGCACTGATAGTACACATAACACCAGATTAAGAGAATTACACTATAGGGAGCGATAACAGAATTTCAAATCGTAACTTATTATTTTATCATGTTTATACAATACTAAAAGTTAATATTAAGTTATGATTTTGATGTTAATTATATAATTACTTTGATTGCACATAAATCTGTCGATCCAAGTGCTTTAATAATATAATTATTTCAAACTATTCCAGCCTTATGATTGATATTATTCAATACTATACTTATAATATTCAGGTTTCATATAAATCTGATTCTATATAGAGTTAGATTTTTATTTAAAATTTTTTTCCAAAAATTCCACCATAATGGCTAATACATATACGCCAATGAAGCGAGTACATGGCTCATCATAGACCACGTTTATTCGGCTCCACCCTTCGTATAGTAGGCTTAACCAGATAGGCCAACCTCTCGTCACCTTTCACACTTCCCCCCTTGTCAACTCCTTCCTGCCAACATTTTGATTCATGATGGCTGCTCGTCGACGAAACTGCCATCTCTGTAAAGTCATACGAAGGAGAATCGCATTTAACCCTCTATCGATAAAGTGAAACAGAAACGCAACGTTGCGCCACGCACTATGTTTTCCTATAAACACCATATGGCCTAAAGGTTCCATGGTTTCCTCCGAGATGGTGACACTTTAGATTACCATCAGCTCAACAAACGTAGTTTGAAATTCCTGTCGGAAAAGACAAACCATTGTATAGTTACAAGATAGCTTCAAACTTTAAAAATAGTTCACTAACCAAATATGTCAAAATTAATTTTCAAAGAATTACGGTCAATATAAATTATTTAAATTAATTAATTCTAAATTTACATAAAAATAAAAAATAAATTTTTGTCAAAATATTGAGTTTTTTTAATTGAAAATATTTATTTGAACCTCAAATGTGCTTTTTGTTTAGTGCTATTGAGTGAAATCGTTAAATTTACTTTCTACGTAAAAAATTGAACTTTACAAAGTTTTATGCGCAAAAGTCGTTGAGCTGTGACAAAAAGTCGCATTTCGTATTTTTGCTTGCGGCAGTTTAATATCTACCCAAATGTGTAGCGAATCGTTCGAAAATCCGTGCCGGCGAATAATATGATAATACGTTTGTAATATAAGGCGGCCGGGTAGACCGGGGGGCTGCGTGAGAAGCGTTATTTGATAGGATATTAGCGGTTAGCGTATCATAACGATTCGCCAAGAGCACGGTAGCGCATACGTCACGTCGCGTTAGTCAGCTTCCTGACATAAGCTTGCCATCCGATGTCTTACCTAACCGGTAAGCTCCCACGGGACGACTATTCTAGGACGTGTAACAGACATTGGCCGTAACAGAAGTTGCGTCTTTCGCTTCATTGAAGATGACGTCGACCGCGCCCGTCTCATGGGGCGTGTCCGCCTGTCCGTCTATTCGAATTCTTGTCAAAATTGTACCCCTGTGCAACTTACGATGTGAAAATTGTACCAGACTTGCATTTAAAATGGGGCTTAACGCGCGACGTGGCTGCGAAGCCTCGTTGAAAATAATATTGCGAACTTTCGCTTAACTCGCTATACCAGGTAATAACATAGGGCAAATGTTAGAGTCGTGTGATAAATATGGCTGAATCCAGGAATCAAAATAATTTATTTCTTCATAGCACGTAGGATGCAGGAAGGGATTTTTTAAAGAAAATTTGGGGATGTACTTTTTTATTTTTAAATTTCAAAAGGAGTCGGGGAGTATGGTGAAGAGACGCGTCTCAAGATAAGGGAGTACAACGATCACGTGGCATCGACTGGGTAGAGAGAATCATCGCTCTTCGGCAATAGAAAACCGCAGGGAGTATTATCGTTGATGTTTTGATAACTGACGAATCAATATCGCGCGAGAGAGCGTCTCGCAAAAGAAGGAAAAAAAAAATAATAATAAAATGGATGGAGTTGTTTGCGGGACGGGATTCCCTCGCACTCCTCCTCCGGACCTCGGAAGCTGCTGCCAAATCTCAGCCCGTCACTGCCTCCGTGATGGATCTACCTCCCCTCTTCTTTATCCACACAATTCGTACAGAAGGGCGAAACTATTACGCTCGTACCACCCTCTCGTGCTTACCCATCCAGCATCCATGACTCCAACAGTGGTCCAATTCTTCGTTCGATTTCTTTAAAATTTCGTCGAAGCAAAATAAAAAAAATCTTTTCTTCGTATACACTGCGTCACTCAGGTCGCAACCCTTATTCGCCTTACACTCCCTGAATATTCACTTTCTCCCTATTGGACACTCGGGTCCCCCCCTGAACTTCCTTTTTCCATACAGGACGACCTTACTGCAGGGTCTCTCAGTCGTTGAGGGGTCCCCCAATGACGGACCACGACAATGCAGGCCTCCGCGTCCGGCATCCCCACGATGGTCGCCCAATTCTTTCGCTCCTCGCGGGGGCCGTTCGCGTTGCGCTCGCACTGCGTTAACCCCGCGAGCAAAACTATTGCAATTCCTCGCGTAGCGGGGTTAAACCTTCAGCCTTGCGCCCTTAGCCCCGGGGGCCAGCATCGCGCCCGTCAAGGGAGATTTATAGCAACTCGAATTCCTCGACTACTAGTCGGCGGGGGTGAAGCGAACCGAAGTGAAGCGGCGCGCGCGATGCCTGAGGTCGTGAGGAGGTGAAGTGGTAAGGTGCCGAAGAGGGGGGGGGGGAGGCTAGGACCGTCGGCTACAGACCGAGGACGGAGGTGACTGCCTCCGGTGAAGAGAAGAGAGAAGAGAGGGTTGGTTAGGTGGGATAGGAGTCAGAGGGTGAAAAGGGGAGCCTCTCGTCACTCCGACGTGACGGCCACAGAACTCTCTCCGCACTCCATCGCCTGCCTGAACCCCACGACGCCTGTTTCTCCATAGTCCTTTCCTCCCTCTCCCTCCCACCCATCCACCCTCTCATCGCCATCACCTCCTACTCACAGCCAGACCCTACGAAACGACTCTGCAACGACTTCGCCACCTTATTATACTTCTAGGGTCCTGACAGCCGCTGACGACTACGACGTGTTTCCGTACTCTTTCGTGAAAATACGATAGAGGTGGCAGGCTTTGTTTTGTATCGAGATGCCGAGGCGGTTTCAGAAGCGACGCTCCAAGGAAATTGGACGTTTCGTGGGAACGAAATCGTACGTCTTTTTTGACAAGAGAAAATATTTTACATCGCATTTAGAATGATTTAATGTACCGCAGTCATTTTTGATTGGGGCGCTATCGGGTCTCGTATAAGGGACGATGAAGTTTGCCGAGGCAAAATAAAGGTGTTAAACTTATCAGTCGCGGGTGTCGACTGCCAGTCGCCGCACGTAAGAATCAGGCTTTATCTCACTTAGACTCATCAAGCAAGTTCGAATTGAAGTTAGAGTCTTGTTTTCTTTGCGGAGATTCGAGCGATGGATAAGCATAGCTCAGGATCGGACCTTGGACGATTCTATAGTTATAGTCTAATGACTCGGCGAATTGCCGGTGCGGTTTAATTTACTGATCTCACCGATAAGGGTTAACAGACTTATCCGTTGGATTTAAATTTCCCATCCAATCTTTTCTCGCCTTTGGTGATATTCGATTTACTTGGATACCCGTGTTTACACAAGATGCCAATCACGTTTTTCGTTGATTAAAGAAATAATGGTTTAATATAAGAATTGGCTTCGTGGTAATACGAAAAATTGTATAAAGACAAAGGTATTACTTTGCTCTAGCAAATTATAGCTATTACATCCAAAGGTATATTTGTATACTAGATATATGTACCACAGCATAGGTTCTTGAAGCGAGTGTGATTACGGTACCTCGTAATTTTCTGCAATTTCTGTAATCCTCGTGAAATTGCACGAAATGACGTACTTTGCGAAAAATGAAGTTTATTGCAAAATTTTGAAAATCATCACGCTTTCGAATATCTTTAAATCTTCATCTTTCTCGCGAGAATCATTCAAATTCAATTGTTACTGTTGAGACACAGCCTCTGGCACGTAATTGTTCGATTACGTAATTCGAAGTAAGACTTAAGAAGAGGAGTACCAACCTTGCAGAAATAATAGATACTATCATGCACACTTGCATAATGATCCAAGAGGCATGTAAAATGTACACAGCTATCCCAATGAGTAAGGCAAGAGGACATTTGTCTGTGAGAAAAAAAAAATTGCAACTAATTTTGCATACAATATCCGTGAATTTTTTGAATCTCGTCAGAAAGTCGCGGAAAGTGAAAAAAAAACGACAGAGCAGCCATTGCTTATACGATACAGCAAGAGGGGTAAAGTAATCAATAAACAATTTATCTGGGCGGAATCTACCCCTGATTGAGTTACGATTCACTGATTTCTTTCTACGCGTGGCAAACTTCCCCTCTACCGACAGGCAAAAAGTGCAAAAACAGTTAGTTACTCTTCCCTGTCGCCGGATTCTCATTCCAGTTGGTTCTTCTCTGCAAAAAGCTAAATGTCTCCTTGTGTTGTCGCGAAATGGAGTTTTCGTCCAGCTTCATGTTACATATACGTTTATCGATCTGTTTACAGAAAATTCTTGTTCTATGTATATTACTGTACAGCTTAGACCGTATATTTGTCCATTTCGTATCGAGCAACCAGATTGGGTAAAATACGTGCGTGCAATTGTAGTTTTAAAAAAATGAGCATATATTAATTATATATATCAAAGCAATTTTGCGGGCCTAAAGGATAAGTTATATACGAGATACTGTACGATATTCAGAGAATTGCTTAAATATGCGTATATATATATACGTGTAGGAAACAGGAAACACGTGGGCTGATTTGATGTAGAGAAGTAAAAGGAAGAAGTAACCCAGGCGCCTATGTACGTGGATACGTTAGTGAGGTGGCGCACGGAATTTACGAGATAGCTACCCCACTTTACCCTTTATCCCTACCTTGCTCGCTCCGCTTTTCAACAGGTGGCCGTTTTGCTCAACTTCTGTATTGTAATTTATAATTTAATTGATTTATGCTCGAGAAACGTTTCTCCGGGTTCTGGAAATCGTTTAGGTATTCGAGTGTACCCCTAAAACGCATACCTACCCTAATTTGCATAACTGTTTAAATCCACCCTTTAAAAGAAGAGACGACTTGTCGCACGTCGAATTTTCAAAATTACATTTCTCGTTATACTCAAAAAATATTTTGTTGATACCTATACTCGTGATATGATGAGT